TGTGTTTTGGAGCTCCTTGTGAAGTTGGGTGAAAACACAGCTCAGAGAGTTGACACTGGGAGGCGCAGTTCCAGTACTAAAGGCTGAATGGTACACCCATGCATAAGTTAGCCGAGGTTGTCATAAAGGGACCATTCACCTAGAAAGCATATATTCTCACAATTCAAACACAATTTAAAGCTCATCTTTAACTTTTTAAATATACGTTCTGTAAAGAGCTACTTTGTTGCTACACTCGGTTGTTGAGGGATTGAGTCCTGTATTAGACAGATGTATAGAGAGCTGATTGCAGAACCTGTGCATGAGCTTGCATTTTTGTATTTAAAGGTCCAGTGTGTAAGATTTAGGTGAAGAACTATTGGCAGATATTTAATGTAGAATAATCCTCATGATGATTTCACTAGTTTGTTTCATCTAAATTGTATGAATTTTAGTTTTCTTTACCCCAGAAAAGACCCTTTATATTTAAATGCTTTATATTTACATCGAGGGGGTCCTCTTTACGGAGGCCGCCATGTTTTTTACATTAGTCCAGACTGGACAAACTTAACACCTTTGAGTTTTTATGACAACTGAAGCTACCACAGGTTCTTTTTCATGTTTGGAAGGAGAGGGTGAGGTGAGGGGTGTTCAGCTGCAACATGAAACTTCAACACTAGATGTCACTAAATTCTCTACACTGTACCTTTAAGATTATTTGCCTTTGGATAATCTTTTTTATCTGATATTATTTCGCAAAAAGAAAAACCATTGGTCTGTTTGAATTGCCACATGATAACTCAAAAACTATTGAACTGATGTCCATGACATCTTGTGGAGGGGTGGGGTATAACCCAAAGAAGAACCCATTTCATTGTGGAAAGGATCGATTTAGATGAGCATGTCCAGGATTTATTTTTCCACTTTCCTAAACATGGTGAGTTGTAGTGTTAACCTTGACACGTCTTCTTTCAGTCACAAAGGTGAAGGTACATTTCTGGAATCACAATTTCACATCAGATGTTTATGGGTGAGCAGATGTTTTCCATCATTACAATAATATCGGTGTCAGGTTCTGAAATTGGGATAAAAAATCATCTCAAAATATGAAATTCCAGTTTTGCATGTGAAAGTTGTCATTTATTTAAAAAAAGGATCAATAATCAATTGTTAATGTGAGGAACCTCCTGAGCAACAATGTGTCTCTCTTCAGGTATTCGCTGATGCACTTTCAGTTTGAACCCTGTGCAGAGGAAATAGGACAGGTCTCAGTGTTTGTATCCATCATCCAGCCTTAGTCAGCGCCGCAGTTTCTCATCTTAAACTCACCGTTCATTGCCTTCCACTCAAGTGTGTGATTGCAGCCGACCAGGTGTTGTCTCGTGGCGTGGAAGCAAAATGTCAGATTTTTAAGATTTTTCTCGTGTTTGTTGTGAAAAGTAAAAGGTGATGAGTGTGCTGCTGTTGCTGTGGAGGAGGAGCAGAGCCCAGGAGTAGGAGGGAATGGGAGGGAATCTTCGAGCCTAATCTGATTCATGCCACTTCTCTCCTGACTGAAGTGTTTGTGTTTATTGAGACATTTATTAAACTGAGCATGAAATGCAAGCAGCTTCTCTGGCGAGGACACAGAAATGCAGAGGAAAATCTGTCTGTTGGCCTTGCGAGGTAGAGAGAGATGAAATTGCTGGAACAGCCTGGACAAAGTATTAAATGAATAAATGCATTGGAACCAAGTGTCAATCTGTCTCAGTTATGAAATTCCAGTTATATTCATTTCTTCTTCTCCTGTTGTCTTGCACTTCTATTCCTCTAGTAGACTCTGCTGCATATTTTCAAGCTGATTTTTAGAAAATGGAACCAAGGTTATTCTGTGTGACATTAGTAAAATTACTGCTATTTAAACACTTGGCACTTAAAGGTACAGTGTGTGGAATTTTGTGATATCTAGTGTTGAAGTTTCATGTTGCAGCTGAACACCCCTCACCTCACCCTCTCCTTCCAAACATGGAAAAGAAACTGTGGTAGCTTCAGTTTCATAAAAACTCAAAATGTGTTTAGTTTGTCCAGTCTGGACTAATGCAAAAAACATGGTGGCCTCCGTAGAGAGGACCCCCTCGATGTAAATATAAAGTGTTTAAATATAAAGGTTATTTTCTGGGGTAAAGAAAAACTACAATTCACACAATTTAGATGAAATGAACTAGTGAAAACATCATGAGGATTATTCTACATTAAATTTATGCCAATAGATCCCTTTCACCTAAATCTCACACACCGGTACTTTAATCAAGCATAGAAAAGGTTTCTCTGTGGATTTTCAGTGGGTTTGCTTGTCTCTGAATTTTGTTTTTGGTTTGAGGGATTACATCTTTGAATGTGCTTAGTCATTGTAGTCTGACGTGCAAAAATCACAGCCGCCGCAGCTCAGCAGCTCCTTGAGGTGAAGCTCCCAGCACCAACTTTGTGTGCCACATCAACACAACCACACGCTGTGGGATAAACAGAATATGTGTGCACACTAACATCACCTTTTTTTTTTTTTTTCAAAGTCAGCCTGGTGATCTCCTGCTGCCCATATAGTGACACACTACCAGTTTATGTATCTGCTCCGGGAGAGTCGTGCCAGCTCTCTGGGTCTGAGTCACCCTACGGCACATGGCATCTGATGCCTCCAGGCTCGCCCACTCTCACTTCCACTTTTCCATTCCCATGCTGTCTTTTCCTGTGTCCCTCCTCCATCAGCTGTGTCGCTCTTGCCTATGTGTTTTGGATTCAGCCATTAACTTCAATTATTTTACAAGTGGCATTAGTGCCAGACATTTTTCACAAGTATAATAAGGTTTTAGATATCAACACAGAAATGAAGGAATGCTTTGAAACTGCTGGTCAGTCCTGGTATTTACAAAGTGTGAATTGGGGGAACTGCACAGTGGCCATTATAAGAGAGAACTGGGAGAAGACGTAATTGCATTGTGAAATTTCATCATATGTAAAACCTCTTTTTCTCAGTTGGACGCATTTTGAAAAAACAAATTTGTGCAAATTGTTTCAATAAACTTAAAAACAAGACCAACGTTCTACTGATCATCTACAAAGACCTGGTCAGAACTCATCTCAATTCACTACACGCTTTCCGCGTTTTTTATTTTGTTACATAGAAGAATTTTACATTGTGACATTGTTCCATTTTCATTTGAAGCAGAGATGCTGAGAAAGGCTCCCTGTGCTGAAGCATTTAGTCCATCAGCCGGCTGCCATTAATTTCACTTCCCTCTTCAGACACATGTGTCTTCATTATGATTCATTCATTACATCTGTGGGTGTGCAGATTTATGCTTCGACTCGTCTTGAGCTTTGGCCGCACTTTACCAAACAGACAGCTGGTGATTCTTTAATATATAGACACAGAGGCATCATCATTATTCAGCAGAGTTAAAGTGCTTATTTAGTTATTTATCTTTTGAATTTTATTTCTACCTCACACAACCGCAGACACCCCAGCTGGACATCTGGAAATAATAGCTGACTCTTGCTGTGTCCTAAGTTTCCTGGTTCCCTAATTTACTAATTCAAACAGTGTAAGCAATATGTACTTAAATAATTAATATGTAGATATTTTAAGAAACTTAAAGAGGTAGTTCACCTGAAAAATGAAAATTCACTCATTATCTACTCACCGCTATGCCGATGGAGGGGTGGGTGAAGTGTTTGAGTCCAGGGGTAAACCGCGTTGCAGCCAAATCCAAAACAATTGAAGTTAATGGTGACCGATTCTTTAAACATAAAAAGAACAGCAATGCCTCCATACTGCTCCTCTGGTGTCATCCAAGTGTCTGTCAGGAACTTCAATTGTTTTGGATTTTGGAAAAAGAGTCAGCTATCATTTCCAGATGTCCTGCTGGGGTGTCCGCGGGTGTGTGAGGGAGAAAAAAATTCAAACCACTCAAATATGTCAAAATTTTTGCTCATCACTTTCGGAGAAGACAACGAAAATATGTAATAATGTAAAACGTTCTCTCCCCTGTCACATCCCTTCACCATGTCTCGTTTTAATCTGTTCAGTAGTTTGTGCAATTGTATTTTTGCTAACCAAACTTATCAGAAACATGAACACTTGACTATACATATGACAGACACCATTTGTGACAAAGAATGATTTGAGATTTTTCTTTTCGACTTGGTCCCTGTTAACACGGAGGAGGTGGGGTTTATGAATTATGCTGCTCACAGTTCACAGTTTTCAATTGCATTTATTTATTGTGTATAACTACTTTCATGAGAAAGAAATATACTGAGTACACTTGGAGACACCAGGTTTGAACTGACGAACTCAGAGCTGTGCGGTTGTGATCATATCACCAGTGACGGATGTTAATATCAGGTCTGAACAGCCTTTGAAACTCAGCAGGCTGCTTTGGAGATGGGATGGCACACGAGTGACGGCCACATGGCTCCACTCTGTGTAGTCAGAGAATGGGGGGGTGGAGGGAGATCCATGGAGGAGCGAGTGGAACTGATGGAATTGGAGCTGCAGGCTGAGCCACTGCCCCTGATTGCAGCTCTTGATAAAGAGAGTATCTGATAGGCAATCAGAGCTGTGGCCCGAGAGGATTTGAAGTTTTTGTTGGACTATGGATTTGCCCACCTTTTCATCTGGTCCTATCTTTTTTTTGAGAGTTCTGATGGGATTTTGACAGCACTTGGGGATTGATGCGTCTCCACTGGTGTGTTAGAATTACATGTAAGGGAATTGTCACAATGGCAAGTCAAAGACAGACCTTAAACAAGGGTTAAGCAAACACACAAACAAGGAATAATGCAAAAATTCCAATTGCAAAAGCACAAGTCCCTGAGTTCTTTCCAGTTAAAAGGATTTTAATCTAATCTTCAATCTAATCGAGGCTTAAGGACAGAGGATGTTGCACCCTGTACAGATTGTTAAGCCCTATGCAGCAAATTATGATTTGTGAATATGGACTTAACGGTTTGATTAACTGACTGTTTCCTTTGTGTTTCTGCAGAGTGTGTTCGCGGTTCTGTTGGGACCTTTTGCTTTCTTTAACGCTCAGAAGACCAAATATCTGCAGATCCTCACCTCGTTCATGCGCTGGATTGGTAAGAATTCTTCCTCACTCCTACTCATCTTTCAGTTTACTGATATGTTGAAGATTTAGGTTTCCACAACCTATTTTTCAAACTACACACATTTCCATTTCCTTGATGCCCCCCCCCTTCACACCCCTTCGCCTGTGTGGCTGCCGTGCTCAGGTCCGTCCATCATGGTTTGGTCCTGCTCTATGTCTTTGGTTCCCATCTCCCTTCATTCCTCAGCCTGACAGGCTTGACAGCCAGTCCCAAGCTTGATTGGACTGTCACTCACAGGGCGTCGGACGAAAATAAACCGCCCATCCTGGGCCCCGCTGTTAAAATCACAACACCACTGAATCATGGTGCTCTCGTCACCCTTGCACAGGCGCGTGCTAGCTCGCAGGAGCAACACACAACCACAGCAGCATCAAACACACTGTCCACTGGCTGGCTAAAAACACACAGTGGTTTATGAAAGTCAACCTCTGGCATTGCTCTCAAGCCAAACCCAAATAGATTTTGGGGCTGACACTGATATTGGAGATTTCTTTTGTGCATTGTATATTCTGTAATATATCAGATGCGAAAGGCTCATAGCGACCAATTTTATCATCAATATATTAATTGGTTGCGATCATATTATTTCCTCAGATTTTCTTAGTTTGTGTAGTGCAGAGAATCAAGTGCATTCCCTGTTGTGTGAAAACAGTTTGTCTTGTATATGTATTGTTTTTCTGACCCTGAACAGACTACACTATGATTTTTACGGCGCAGTTTCTTTTCAGAAATATGAATGTGAGTCTCTTTGTGGACAGCTTCAGTGTGTTAGGATGGATTTAAAATGCTGTGCTGTTCTCAATAACCTCACTGTAGCAAGTGGCTCCAATGTCCTACAGTACTCCCCTGTTTACGCGTATATCACAGTTTGTTCCTTTAAATGAAATGTTAGATGCTCAAAGGTGCTTTGACAGATGTTTTACAGCTGCATCCAACATATGACACATTTTAGGAACCACCAGCATCACCCACAGAAGCCCCTGCTGCTTTTAAAGCTGTGAAAGGTGTTTAGTTTGCTTTAATACAGTCGTTGTGACACTCCCTGGATAAGCCGTGCGTCCAGCATAGCATGTCGCAACGAATCGTGCTTCCCCATGTGGGCGACATGGTGTGCTGGACACCAGGGTTAGCAGCTGGCTGATGCGTCAGGGCCCTTCCTTCTGCCCTGGGCTGTGGCCTTGTCACGCTTGTTGCCACTCAACTGTTGTCACCTTCTTGTCCAGTGAGCCCCTATTTTTTTTTTTAAGCACTAAACATGAGTGATGGTGTGACTGCCTGCTGCTCGGCTGTCTGTAACATGCTGGGACTTTCACTGTGACGCCTTTTGTACAACCATAGACTGTACAACCCAGAATTCTGTCAATTTAATTACAAATTCATCTTTTGACAAAATTAAAGTGGATTCTGCTCTTCTGGAGCGACAACGAGGTACAACTGTAACTGACAGTAAGTGTAAAACAACATTTCAGTTTTTCAACATTCCATCTGGACTACAACACAGCCCCTGAGTTTTCAAACTAAGACAGGAGCAGCAGTGTTTTCAAACTGCTCCGTTTTAGTCGCTTGAAAACAGAGAAGTGAGGACAGCAGGCGTAAATGTGAAAATGTAAACAGTGATCAGTTTTTAAATAAAATGAAGTCGTGGGGCAGTGCTTCTGAGGCTCAGGTAGTTTATATTTTTAACAGTAAATCAGACACAGGTACTCTAGTGGACTCCCAGAATAAAAATAAAGAATGAAACAAGCATCTTTAAACAATAAAATATAAAAACAGGGGTCGATACTTTTATAGGCGCCGTACTCAACATTTATATTGACACAAAGTTTGCTTTCTGAAAAAAAATAAAAACTAAATACAGACTGTGGTCAAATAAATGTTGCATTAAAGTGTTACAGGATAAAAGATGTGAAATGGCTTCTCTGCACCAAGAAAAAATAATAAGTCAGCATCTCACCATCCATCTCATGCCCATAGTTCACTACAACATCGTATAAGAGGCTAAGAAAGTTCCCGCGGGGATATTCACAGCTTCCTACTGCTATTCTAAATGGGTTAGAGAGGAACATGTTGTTTTTGAAGGTCAGCAGGACTGTGGTGACTGTTTGAGCGGAAGGTTCAGTTTGTCCAGAGCATGTAGCTCACAGGGGGATGGTGAAATATGAGCGGCTCTTAATGAACCGTATAACAGAACCACACAGTTCAGAGGTCCTGTAAAAATTACATTGAGAAACACACTTTTCTGTCTTTCTATGACACCGCGTTTTTCACTCAAGGACAAAAGGATCAGGCATATATCAACACAGCCACTGTCTTTGTTGTTGCCGGTCCCTGCCCTGTATTACTCTGTATTGATGTTAGTTTGACTTCCTGCGGAGATGAGTTCCAGGGTGATTAAGGGAATCTGTAGTTGACATCGGCCAAAGAACTTGATCAATAAGATCTTTACCCTTTAACTAAGCTTTTAATTATCGTTGCTGACCTCAAGGCCTTGTTTACCTCAGAGCTGCCTTCATTCCTGGGTGTGAAGGGAAGAGTGAGAGCTGCAAAGTTATTTTAACTGAAGATTATTGAGTAGCGCAGTCCATAGCGACTTGGGTTGGGAACCGGAGCGTGGCCGGTTCAAGTCCAGCGTGGAGGGAAGTTGGAGAGGTGCTAGTTCACCTCCTGGGCACTGCCAAGGTGTTCTTGAGCAATTTCCCCATGTTCGCATGCTGTGTGTGGGACTGAAAATAGGAATCTTAATCTAACATTCTAACATTAAGCAATAATGAGCCTCTAATTTTTGTTTGATAAATGATCTTCATTACTCAGCTCTGAAGTTTTTCTGCATTCATTTCCTATCAATTGACAAATTGTCCCAGCAAATTGGACATTTTAGTTTTATCCCAAAATAGGATATTGTGTTTATTTCATTATGACTTTCAAATCAATGACAAAAAAAACCCACACCCATCCTGTGCATCGTGGCAGAAGGGGACTATGTCTCATGGAATAACTTAACTTAACCCAATTGTCATTTTATAAACACACTATTGTAGAGCCTGTTGTAAATTTGCCATTTTGGAATGGGCTGTTTGCTAAGCCTGTGTAATGCTACAATATACAGTTTTATTGTCTGTGTGGTGGATGTTGTGTGCAGAGCTTTTTATAAACAGTAAAGTTAAAACATTTGGTGTTCATCCTACCTGGTTTATCTGCAGTAAAGTAGTTATAGTCAATGTTTTTCATTAAAACAAACTGAATTTGTTTTATTACTGTTAATGTGTTTGGTTTGTATATATACGTTGATATATACTTGACTGGTTATTTTATACAATCCAGTCTGTTCTTTAATTAACACAATCTTCAGACCCATGTTCACAACTTTTCAAAATAGAAGCTCTATAATTCAGCTCAATATAACGAAACATTTCTCTTTTACTTTAATTATTTTGCTTGTTCCTCATCTTGCAGGTTTTAGAGGCAGCAGCTTTCTGATCTGTGGATCATTTTCTGAGCACTGGCTGAGAGAGGGAGCTAATTGGTGTTTTCATGAAGCTATTCGACATCAAGCCGTTTCACATGAAGCTGTTACACATGAAGCTGTTACATAGTGCAGTGTCATGGAGTTTGGCTGCCTCTTCCCTGTGAACCTGAGCTGCGGTGTGGGGCGTTAAACAGTGAGGCCGACTGCTGTGTTTCTCTGTGCTGTGTTTACTGATTGTCCTATCTGAGATCACACTAGTTGTCTCCAGGCAAGGCAGCCACTTATCACCCGGCCGCCCACCAGACACGACAGCAGCAGCTCACTGTAGCTCAGCTCCTGATAGGTTTGAAGTGACAGAGCTGTGCCACAGCAAGAAATCCTGAAACCCTGGCGAGAAGTGGGCAAAGAGCCGGCACTGCTAATTACCGCCGAGATTATCCAAGAGTGCTCAAGGAGTACCTCTCTTAATTAATGATGGGATGATTGCTGAGCGGTACAGCAACTAGCGGGGGAGATATTCAAACTGGCAAATGAAATGAGAAAACAGCAGAGTGGCGTCACCAGAACCTTGTGCGTTCTTAGTTTTCTAAATGCATTGCTGAGAAGTCCTTGACCTTCTCACTATCATCAATGAATTGCTCACGTTTAAGTGTCCAAGTCATTCTTTCAAAGGAATGGTCCCCGCCCCCTCAAAGCTTCCTCGAGCTCCGTCGCACATGAGATTGATCACCTCTCACCTTCCAGCATTTTCTACTTGTTAATTGAGTCCAGGAATCCCATCTCTTCTAAGATAGCCAGCAAAGAGTCCTTCTCCATAGGCATTCAATGACTCCTTGGAGTATTGAGAGTGTCTGCCAGCCTTGAGTTAACAGCTACAGCTTTGTTTGCTACCAGAGAGAGCAAAGCTGTAACAGTCTGCTGCGGAGGGTTGTTAAGTTGAGCCATCCCTCCCAAGGTCATTCCCTGTCCCCATCCGGGTAATATAAATCACAGGCTGCATGATGGACGACCACTACTTATATGGACGTGATGTGTGGCTGTTTGATACCTACTCAATATATATTCACTTCCCGTGTTCACATGTCAAGTGTAGCTGAGAGTATCGGCAGAGCCCAGCGTGTCACTCTGAAAGTGCATGTAATCACCATAACCTGACAGATATCTGCAGAAGTAAATGTCTCATCGCATGTGAATGAATGACTTTGGTGGAGGGTCTCTGGACAGGTGGGGGCTGTTGCTATTGGATTGTAGGTGGGTGGAAGATTTCTTCAGATGGAATTACATCATGGAGTTGGTGGCATCTCTTAAAGAAGCTTTTCCCTTCCTGTCAATCCAGAATAAGGAGGAAGACAATAAAGGAAGTCACATTCAAATTAAGACCCAATGATTAATATTTTACTTCTATGTGTTTGTGGTCTCAGTATGCATTTGAATGTGGCTCTCACCTCTCTTACATGAAGACAGTGACCTAGATCCACACGGATACATGCATCACTTAGGCTAT